GGGGGGGGGGGGAATGGCATCCTTCCAAGGCTATTTAATTCTCAGCTTCCCTGCATACTTGCTAGTGCCAAGCATTTACTTGGCAGCCACCATTAAAGAGGGAGGGCCAGAACCAATAAAACAGATGCCTAAAATGAGGCACTGCACAATCTAACTTGTAGGCACCTATGCTCTGGAACGTAATCCAAAACCCTACGTTAGGCTCCTAGGCTGCCTATGCAGTAGTACATGGGCAATGGTGGGTAATCAGAAACAACCTGCACACTGAGTAGGCAATTCCCTTAGAGATACCTTCAGGAACAATAAGGGATGTGTCTGAAATCCACCCCACCCCCCCACCTGGGATCCACAGCTGGGATCCTATAACCATTCTTTCCAAGAACAGAGCAAGGTTTATTCTTCTTTCAAGGCATGGTCAGAGGAGGATGAGGAGTGGTGCTAGTACCCATTTTTATGCAACAGACTAATGGTTAGAGCATTCACCAGGAAGTGAGGACCAGGGTTAAATTCCCTCCGCCCCACTAACAATTCTAAACCTGTATTTTCCACTTCCCAGACGAAACCCAAACCATCAGGATGCAGGCTACTCTGGGAGGAACTATTCCTATGGGATTCTTTTCTGCACACTGGTAGTTTCAGGATTTATTGGAGCAAAGGGAGCATTTTTCTGTAATCTACAGCACAGAGCACTCCCCCTCCCTGAGAAGGGGAAGCCCCTGGTACTTTTCCCTACTCCCATGCTTCTTGCAGGATTTTATGCTAAACAACCTTTGGATAAGTTACATGAGAACTGTCCAACTTCTGAGTGGCCAAGGACCACATGCCCCTCCAGCCCATATGTTGCATGGGCTATATACCAGGCACCCCTCACACTGTGGAGTGCAGGCAGCAGGGCCACTAACATGCATCCCCCAATCACTGAACCATGCGGAAAGCTACCACACCACTGCATTGTGCCAGCACACCTGAGCTTTGTGTGCTCCCCTGCCCCTGCACTGTATAGCAGGCCCCCCTTCCCCTGCCATATCATGATGGCAAGCTGCACAGAGTTCCCAGGTGCCCCATGCTGCCCAGCCACAGACCAGCCACAGGACCTTTGGCCCTGTAAATAGTCCTGTCTCACCCCCGGGAGCAGGGACAGGCAGTGAAATCAGGAGGGTGTTGGAACCCCGAGACAGCAGCAATAGCTGCTGGAGCAGTTGGGGCAGGGGGAGATGCAGCACCCAGACTGGGAGCCCAGTGGCCACAGGTGGCCCACAAGCTGCCAGCTGGACAGCCCTAAGTTACGCAAT